GGCTTGTTTTACATACGTCTTGCCAAGCGACGAAAACCCAACCCCGATGGCAAACACCGGGGGGGGAAATCGCGCGGGGTGGGGGGGAGGGTTCAGCAAGCAGCTGCATCGGATGTCGCGCTCCCATCAGTGATGCGCGATCGGAATCATACAGACCGCCGTGACGTTGACGTTTTAGTATTTACTGTTGGTCGGTACTCGTCGCGCTGGCTGCATCGCGCGCTCTAAGTTTGGTTCCACGGCTCTTCTTTCGTACCATTGTATGTCCGTGAAACGGACGGTGACTGGCCCACCTCCGTAAAAAAACAATACACGACAGCAGTGCCGGTAAGTGTTTTTTGTTGTCCATCCGTGACCCGGGGCGGCACCTTCATGCACTGGAACATTTGGTGCCGCCCGAAGGGTGGAGCACGATTGTTGTTGTCGCATGCTCTCTCCCTCGATCCCCACGAGAGACGAAGAATCGCCACGCCCGGTGCTGACAACCGGCGTCATCTATGTACATGTAGGAGAGGAATCTCTGTCATCAGATCTGGGGTAGCCTGCGGCGCGGGGTAAGAGTTCTTGTCATCGCCCAAGCCTTACCGTTGTACTCGCTAACCCATACTACGCTTTGAAATTTCATCCAACGACGACAAAGCGTGTCCAGCTTCAGGCCGAATTCCCCGTACACACTTCCGTTTTGGGTTTTTGCGAGCCGAAGACGTTATTGCTACGCTGCTCGTGCACCGATATCAATCAACATCGTCTGGAGCCAGCTGCAGAGGTACCTCACCTCGGCAACGCGACGAATGGCTACGAACGACTGTCCTACATGTACACGAAAATGTTCGACACCAACGTTGACCACCCTACAGTACCGTCTCCTTCCTGTCAAACGAGGGACAACTTGTGGTCACATTCCAGAAGTAACAGCCCTGTGCCCAGGATCGTCACCGTTCTCTCACGCCACACATGATCACTCGCTGACAATCTGGTGCCCCCTTGACACTGTACGATTTAGTCCCGCCCCCCAACCCCCCCCCCCCGGTGTTTGCCGTCGGGGTTGGGTTGTTGTCGCTTGGCAGCATGTTGTAAACAATCCAATCACTTCGTGAGCTCGGCAACCAGGTTACCGCTTTTGTTTTTACCTCTGTTTTTATTTTTGGCGGTAACCATAATGGTGGTCGAGTGGATCATGTTGTGCGGGGTCGAGAACCCTCACTCCGCGCAAAGGGGATACTCGCACCACATTTTGTTAAAATGGTCAAGCACCCTCGAGGCAGTTACACAGTCAGTTCTTACAACTACTGCCTCTGGAAGTGAAAGCACCAGAAAATAAATCAAGTCATACGCAGCTGCCATCCGCACGCAAGGAAGAAAGCACAAGATGCCGAAAACCCTTAGCAGGATGCAGCTCACCCTTCATGCGACTCGCCGAATACCTCACGGCGCTTCGTGCTTGGTGATGTGAGAGCCTGGTTCGGTGAGAACCCGGCGTGCTCCGCCCCGGCTTTGTAGGGACGCGAGGTCAATGGTCTAACGACTACGGCATGCAGGTTTATGAGCACGCACTCCCACATAAACTCCAGATTGACTTACGTGAAAATCTTACACCCTCTACTTCTGGCCGCGCGATAAAATCGGTACCCAACAAAGAGTCATGGCAGAAACGTGTACCAAGAACACGCAAACATCATCGCCGCAGGCGATGCGACAGTACGCCAAGCCCCCACCGCTAAGATTTTTAGGGTTGCCCGTAATCTGTCGTTATGCACTACTTGTGGGTGGGATTGGGCATGGACGAAGAGCTATAGTCTATTTGTGCTGCTGTATGACAGAGATAGCTGCTGATGTGACCACCGTAGCGCGCACCGGACCGATATTTTACTTGGCAAGAGGTGGAAGTCCGAGATGGGTATCGATAGCAACAACCGCCAATAATCGAATGGACAGGTCCGCATTATGACATATCTGCCGAGAGGGTCCAACTGCGTGAGTCCGCCAGAACCTCAACGAAAATCCTATCGCCACGGTAGTTGCTACCAAAAAAACTAAACCCTGGCATGTACGGGACGTGAACGAGGAACAGGGGTACCACAAATAAATTCGGATCGATTGCATGTACTGCATGACCAACAGGCACCGATCGCACGCGCTGATTAAACCCAATTTGTTCACATCTCTTCGCATCGGTTCGGAGGTATACTGTAACGCAGGCAACAACAGCATGTGCCTACCTACAGCAGACGTTGGTGACCGTCTCCTGGTGGTGCTTGCAGCACCGTTTCGACTCGTCTTCCGCGAAGGTATTGAACGAGGGCCGGCAGCGCTTCTTGTGGATCCATTTCCGGCAGTTGGGGTCGTTCTGGCACAGCAAAAACCTCCTGTCGCTCCTGGCCTCCCTTTGGTTGCACTTCGCACACTGCTTGTTGTACGAGAAGTTAACCCTTTTACCCCCCCGCTTCGCCCCAACACGATCCGGAGCACGGCGAGCACGGCTCTGCAACGACTTGGGAGAACGTGCACCACGGCCTGCTGCTAGTTGTAAGGATGAAGCAGATCGCTCTCCTGGCAATGGGTTTTCACCCTCTTGCGTTGGGCGAGGTAGAATTGGGGCAGGTACACCGCCGCACCTGCCTTCAAGTGGTGGTGATGGTGGTGGTTGCGCTGCTGCTGCTGCTTCTAAGGACTTACCACCTTAGTCGTGGAAAGCTTTGTTTGGCCGCCTTGGAGAGGAGGGTTACGAGTTCATCGATGAACTTGCGACACATGCCGTGGGAGGAAGGGACGGAGGAACGATGGATCTGAAAGGAGTCTTCAAGGAACGACTTCTTCAGATCGTTTCGGTGGCTACACAGGTGGCCATATCTCGGCGAGTGCAGAGGTACAAGCTCGCATTGCGCGGGCGTCAAGACGCCTTAAACAACAGGCGAACGAACAAGATCGACCTCGAACCAGTCAACGCCAATGATATGGGGATGGAGTGTAGACGCATCGTAGAACGCGTTTTCGTTTGAAGTTGGCGTCTTTTTTGAGAGTAGATGTGACAGATTTGCGTAGAATAGGGTAAGATGTTATCATGAACGGAGAAGAAAGGGCTTTTCCAACACGGAGATGTAGCATGGATCAAAGCAGTTGTTGGATTTCAGCTTTTACAAGAGGACATTAACGCAGTAGTAGTTTAGCAAGCTTACGAACGCATGTAGGATACCATGAGGATTGCCATTGGTTTTATTTCAAATTGAAGAGGAGATATTTTTACGATGTAAGTGACAGTAGAAATAAGTCCTACATACGTTGTTGTAGTTCGTATTGGTTTAATATTCATGTAGAGTATGAGACATTTAAATGAAAGTTTTCTGAGGTACATCTGCAATTGTCGGAAGGCAAACAAAATAATAATAATAATAAAGCAGATTGTCCCGCCCTACATGCATCCTGTTGTGTTTGGCGAGGCAGAATTGGCACAGGTGCACCACTGTGAAGGTCTCCTGGTGGTACTGGTGGTGCTAGTAGTGCTACTGGTGCTGGTGCTGGTGCTGCTGCTGCTGCTGGTGGTAGTGCTGGGGATGCCCCTGGGGTAGCTACCGTGGGGAGGAGACCGGAAGTACGACCACGGCCTCCTGCTTGTAAGGATGATTCAGTTCGTTCCGTCCAAACTGCATGCTCTTGAGTTGGGCGATGCCGAATTGGCACAGGCGCACCGCTGCGACTGCTTCCTGGTAGTGCTGGTGCTGGTGCTGGTACGGGTGCTGGCGGTGCTCGTGCGGGTGCTGCTGGTGTTGGTGTTGGTGCTGGTGCTGCTGGCGCTGCTTGTGGTGATGATGGTGGTTGTGCTGCTAGTGCTGGTGCTAGCGGTGCTGTTGCGGGTGGTGCTGGTGGTGCTGGTGCTTCTTGTGGTGGTGCTGGTGATGCTGGTGCTGGTGCTTCTGCTGCTAGTGCTGGGGCAGTTGCCGTGGCGAGGAGACCGGAAGGAGGACCGGAGGCAGTGCTACTTGTCGCACCGCAAGCACCTGCAAATGAAGGCCGTAGTCGATCACTCATGGGTATGCAAAAGTGATGTGTGTCATGTGCAATGGACACCACTGTGGTACAGCACAGCAGTCTCGTGAAGCACAGACCAGACAGACGTCTCGTGATGACGGCCAAAGTGCTGTATGATGCGGTAAGATATTGCTCGGTAGCGGGCCAATTTTCAAATCTAAATCTATCCATGCTTTATCTCATATATTCCCTGAATCCTACATTCTTTATTTTCTTAATATCACACAACAAATCCATCTCTATCTAGACTAGTCTATAGAAATAAGTCTAAGATAGATTCTCCTCGTCTGAGGCTCAGGGCCCATAGGTAGGGTTAGGCGGGGACGTATTATATAAATTTTCGCGCGAAGCGCGAAAAATATTGAAGAGGCGTTTTCCCGGTCGGGCTGTTTTTTGGCTGTTTTTTTCCACCCCCCCCGATCCACTGTTTTTCGTCTGAAAGATCATGAAGTGGCACGGGAATGCCTTCGAGCACGGGGCGGTATATACATGACGTATCTGCAGAACCCCCCGCGCGGTGACTCAACACCAAGCACAATAAACGCACGATTTCACATCCTCTCGTTGCACACTTACGGTACAAACCATGAAGATGAACACCATCCTCCAAGGGCTAGTCCCTTTCTTCGCCATTGTGTGTGGTGTTTCCTCCGAGAGGTAAGGCCGTTGGTGCCACATGACACATATACCGAGGAGTTTTTTTTTTCGAAGTTTTCTCCCTCTCGTCGGGCACCTTGCTCCATCACGCTGGCCGCCACTTCTGTACGCGCAGGGGCCGAGAAAGGAGGGAGCGGGGAGAGGGGGCTTGCCTTTGAAATACCTCTCGGGTTTTATGTACCCTCGCTCTTGTAGCTGTTCATTCAGCAGACGTGATCGTATGTAGACGTCAGGTCGGCGGTTCGACAAGCGTTGATGTGTTGAACCGCATCGGCACGGTGACCCCGCGTGTGTGCCCCGCCTCGTGACTTTCTCATTGATCATGCCCTGATGTATGCTTACGCAACAGCAGTGAAACCCTACCTGCTCGATTTTGCTGTAGCGTACGGCGGTTGTGCACCCAGGTAGCAGCAGCACTGGCGTTTTGTTCCATGAAGATGCCCGCCGTTACAACGGAGCTGCTTGGGTGTACAACCCTTCCTGTTTCGATGCAAACTGCTGTTGCATCGTGGTTGTCACATTGCATGTAGACTAAAGTTCTACATTAACGTGCATTTACCGAGAGCTTGCGTGTCTCTACAGCAGTAGGCCTGAGCAGTTTTTCGTCAATTTCCCACTTTCTCATCAGCGTTAGCGGAAGCGCAACACTACTGTAGTTAACGTAGCGGCGCACGCTCATTTTCGGGTCAAACCGCGCTCGGCACAACACTCATCACCGAGGTCTGTCGTAGTCCGATAGGAGCTGAGGGCGGTAGCAAGAGCAGCGTGGCTTAAAAATGTGCGTGTTAGAATTGCGGATGCCGTTGTTAATGGGCAATCTCTTCCTGTTGATGTGCGGAGATGCGGAGGTGTGGAATATGCCAATGTGCACGTCGATAACGTTGACAACGTTACACCTTGTCCCTCCCGGTGTTGGGTGTTCTATGCATAGCAGGTTGGAGTCGGCACCCGTGGCCGCCGCGCTGTGCGGGGAAGAAGGCGTGAAGCAGCTCTCGGGATACTACAAGATTCAGGTAACATGACAACCACGGGCTCGCTCGCGCACGCTCGAGTACAGTACAACGTAGAGTGTTGCCCGGGAGAACCACGGCGCTATCTAGTAACTACTGTAGTATACAGCGCTATCTGTGTCTGCATCGCCGTTTTCCATAGAGACCGACGGGCTGTGTGTATTGGTGGACAAAGAGCCGGAACGCTTTTGTAGCGAACTCGCAGAAGAATCTTACCCGGAAAAAAAACAACTGAAAATGAAAGCGAGCCCGACGCTGCTTGTAACGCCGAAAGTGCCCCTCCGTTCCTGTTGTGCGCGCGCCATGTGTTACACACGCGCGGCGCTTCTTGCTTTGTGTCGCTGCTGTAGCGTTTATAGATAGCCCCCTCCCCTCTCCCCTCCCGCTCCCCGGTCTTGTTTCACAGGACGAGGGCGCGACAGACAAGGAGTACTTCTTCTGGATGGCGGAGTCCCAGGATAACCCTAGCGAAGACCCGCTCATCCTCTGGCTCACGGGCGGCCCAGGGTGCTCTTCGACGCTGGCCCTCCTGGCCGAGAACGGTGCGATGCTGATGTAATGTGGTGGATTTAGCGCGTTGGTTCAGTTAATGTCGCGCCCTGTTTTGTAGCGCCCGATGTGGAGGTTAGGATACGGAGATTCAGGAAGCACAGGCACACGGACTCAGAGAGTAGGATCTGAGGGATATGTGATAATAGATGACTGTTCTTCCCAAGGGTCCATGAGTCTTGCGATTCCCAACAGCTGCGAATGGTTAACGAATCTTTAGGAGGATGGGAAAATGAGTCCGCGAAGGCTCGCCCACTCTCCGCACCACCCTAGCGTGGCTGAGTCCGCTCGGTCACGCTTGGCATTCCTCGCCACATGGCACCGAAGGAAATCGCGAGCCTCAGGTGGCCGTTCATAACCACCACCCTCCGGACTCTCCGCTCACCCTGAGTAGAGGGCTCCTACCGGAGTCTGTTGGAGATGCGGCGACTGCTGTGAACGTGGGACGTATGCATATGAATACAAGGGTTTCGGCGGCTTCCGCCGCCACGCGCAAGAGAAGCGATTCCAAGATTAATGTTTTTGGTTTTCGTGCATAAGACACGACTGACTGTGGGCATGGAGGAGGTGATGTTTGCGTGTAACATGCTTTTTCCGACGCTCGTGTTCGCAGGTTGACGTTTTTTGAACGATGTTGACCGACTGTAAGAATGTCGCAGTTGTTCACCGATCCAAAGATGAGTTTGTCACGTAATGTTTGCGTTTGATGATGTGCTTTTCCCGACGTTCGTGTTCGGAAGTTGATGATATTTTACTGATGATGCACCCTAGGAGGAAGGTGGGGCACAAAAATATATACAAAAAACAAAAGAAAGCCCTGGTGTTTACCTTGGTTTCCCCCCCTCCTGTGTGACCCTGGATGGTTGTTGTACGAAAAAATAACTGACAAGTGTAGTACACGTCTCACCACGACTCATGGGGGGACTGTCCCAAAATGGATAGGACGAAAACACACACCCTAGATGATGAATTTCCAACAAACGTGCACCAAGTCTGAAACAAATGAAAAGGAGCCTCGGACCGAACGGCAATCTGATTGGCGCGCTATGCCAACGACACCTCCAACAAGACAGGAAGCAGATGGACACACGAGGAAGCAGCTCGTCAAGAGTGCATGACGAAACGACAGGAGGTTGCACAATGTTTATATTCCCAGGGCAACAACACACACACGACACACGACACGCGAGCTCGACAGCCCTACAGCGTTGTCATTGCGACAGCAGATACGAAAGAGAACAGCAGGAGAGAGACTCCACGAAGGCTGGGTAAGAGTGGGATGTGGGAGAACGCTCGAGGAGTGAGGAGCGTGCGCAACCGAACGTGAGCGGGCGTCGACATGCAGCGTCACCCATGGTTGTGTCATATCTTGCGATTACACAGGCGACGACCACGACTCAAGATCGAATAAACTCCTCTTCTCCATATACAACATCAAAAAGTCACTGTTTGTGCGTACACACGAATTGCACTGAGCTATATATCTGGCCCGTGCCGCGGCGGATGACTGCAGACACACAAAGCGTCAAATCCTGTGTGTTCGTACACATACATGGATTCCACTTCCTGTATGTGCGTACACATGGATTCCACTGAGCTAAATCGGCGGGTGACTGCAGCCTCAAAAATTTTGCTGATGCGAGAAGATTGTTACCGAGCGGCTGAGGTGGACTACGTAGTACAGACTCAATGAACAGGTGACAACTGTAAGACATGAGAGAGAGGAAACTCACGAGAGAGACAGACAGACAGACAGACAGATAGAGAGAGAAACAAAGAGAGGGACACGGAACGCGGGTGGGGTGATCTCTGGTCGCGGAAACGCGTGGTGGATGACTGCAGCTAGATGATGGTTGATTGAGGAGCATGGATTGCGCGGGAGGTGACTACTGATCGATGCGTGTATACAAAGAGGGAGGGAGTGTGCGAAGTGCAGAAGACAGCGCCCACGGGAGCACTGACTGAGTGGAGCACTGACTGGTAGTGCAGAGCCCGAAACCCGAAAGCACTGGGTGCAGAGGGGCCGAAGACAGCGGCAACGGCAACAGAGCGGTCGGTTTGAGGGAGAGAGCAGACAAGGGGCGGACCTCGAAATATATGCTGGCATGTGGTGCGCCGAGAGAAGAATCCCGCCATGCGTGCGTACACAAACATGGATTCCACTGAGATATATATGATGACTGCAGAAGATTGTCACCGAGCGACTGAGGTGACTACTGCTGTAACACATGAGAGAGAGAAAAATTTCGACAGAGAGAGTAGAGAGAGAACGAGCTAGAGAGAGAGAAAGACAGAAACAGAGGGGCATGGAAAGAGAGGGACACCGAACGCGGATGGGGTGATTTCTGCTTGCGGAAACGCGTGGATGACGTGCGTGGATGACAGCACGGATGATGGCCGACTGCGGAGCATGCGAGGATGACTGCTTATCGATGAGTGCAAACAAAGGGAGAGGGAGTGAGTGTGCGAGGTGCAGAATGCTGCGCCAAACGGGAGAACTGACCGATTGGGAGCACTGACTGGGAGTGCAGAGCCCGAAAGCACTGGGTGCAGAGGGACCGAAGCCAGCGGCAACGGCCTTCGGTCGATTGCACTTCATGTGACAGGGAGAGCAAATAACGAAAGGGCGGACCTGGAAATGCTGGCCTGTGGTTCGCTGAGAGGAGTCAGTTTCCTTCAATTTCAGAGAAAAGATAAATGAATACAAGGGTTTCGGCGGCTTCCGCCGCCACGCTTTGGAGAAGCGATTCCAAGATACTTGTTTTTGTGCTGAAGACACGTTTGTTGTGCAACAATAGAGACGGCTGATGAGACGTGGGCATCGAGGAAATGATGTTTGTGTCACGTGCTTTTTCCGACGTTCATGTGTTTTGGCATGACCGGCTGAATGCATACCATGTCGCAGCTTACCTCACCGGTCCCGAGAGGAATTCGTCACGTGATGATTGCGTGTGATGTGCTTTTCCCGATGTTGGTGAGATGAGTTTCTACCGTGAACCATGGCTAAAATTATTAAAAAAGAACCTCGAACCGGACGACAATCTGATTGACGGGCTATGCCAGGGACACCCCCAGTAACAAATCGTCAAAAGTTACGGAACAACGGGTGGCTACGCAACAACAGTGCAGTATACCCCGAATTGGGCGCAGCAGGGTTGGGGACGCCGAGGCAGGGGATCCCGGGAGTGATTCCACTAGGTAGGTAGGTAGGTAGACAGGGAGAGCAAAGAACGAGATTGCGGACCTGGAAATGCTGGCCTGTGGTGCGCCGAGAGAGGAGACCCGCCANAACGGGTGGCTACGCAACAACAGTGCAGTATACCCCGAATTGGGCGCAGCAGGGTTGGGGACGCCGAGGCAGGGGATCCCGGGAGTGATTCCACTAGGTAGGTAGGTAGGTAGACAGGGAGAGCAAAGAACGAGATTGCGGACCTGGAAATGCTGGCCTGTGGTGCGCCGAGAGAGGAGACCCGCCAGCCTAATTCCAAGTGAAAGAAAAAATGGCGGTCTGTGGTGCGCCGAGAGAGGAATGAATTTCCTGCAATTTCACGGAAAAGACAAATTGAATTAAATCTATTTGTTGTGGTGCTTGCCGCCGACGGTGTGGTGCTGTAGGTTCTTTTTGAGTCCTGTGCATTGCACGTTGGAGTTGGTGGTTTGCGCAACGAAGAGGAAAAAGGAACGGCGTTGCAGCTCGGGCGACAAGCGTCGCCGATGTTCGCTTTGGTAGCACGAGCGGTGTGTAATCGAGCTTCAATCTGAAAGTCTTTGGCGTGCAGACCACGAGAAGGCTCCACTCCCCTCCAGCCCATCGAATAGATCGCGGGGAACATGCTGATGCTGCTGCTGCTGCTGCTATGATTTGCCGTGACTCCGCGCTGTTAGCTGCGCATAAGTACACAATTGCCATAAAATGTTACAGCCAGAAAGGAAGCCATTTTTGTGCCCACTAATTACAACCCAAACACAGCTCAAGCATGATGGTCAACTGCTACCTTCCCACACGATTTTATTCCCGACCCCACCCCAAATCCAGTCCAAGCAACACCTTTCCAAGTAGGCCCCAACCTAACCATGCTAAGCGTGTTACGTTTGGTGATGTAATGTATCAAAAAGTAACGTAAACGTAAAGACACGAAAGGTAACGTAGCAGAGCCAAACCGTAAGAAACGAAACGAAACGCAAACGAAACGACACGAAACGAAACAAAACGAACCGCAACCATGACAGGCCCGTGTAAGGTGAACGACGACGGCGAGACGACGACGCCCAACCCCAGCTCGTGGAACAGCCGGGCCAACGTGATCTGGGTAGACCAGCCGGCGGGCGTAGGGTTCAGCTACGGCAAGGCCCCCGGAGACTTCGACCACGGGGAGGACGCGGTTGGGGAAGACATGTTCTGGTGAGAGACAAGACGGGAGGGAGAAATAGATTGTAGGGGAAACTGGCACGTAGCGAAGGTACGGTCGTAGACCATGAACTCTACTGTAGAACGAGGGGAAGGGGTGCGATCGATTCAAGTGCTACAAGAGTTAACTTCTGTAACGGGGAGAGCAGAGGAGAAACGTTTGTCAACTGCGCCTGCGGTCTAAGGATGTCCTGCCGTTGCTGTAGTATGTACGAAGCATATTGTTGCCCTATCCTATGTACTCCGTCCTCATTCCACTTCTGCTCTGACTAGCTCGCCCCACCCCCATCCCAACCCTCATCCTCTCCGCCCCCCCGCTAGGTTCCTGCAGCAGTTTTTCGCGACGCACCCCGAATACGCGTCCAACCCGTTCTACGTGTTCGGCGAGTCGTACGGGGGTCACTACGCCCCCTCGGTGGCACACAGGGTGTGGCAAGGAATCAAGTGAGTTGAGAATGGAGGGTGCTTTCGCGCTTTGAGTTGCGTGTTCTTGAACACGCACCACAGCTTTTGAAGGAAAGTTGGAGTGCCGTTGGGCTTGGGGTCTGTCGAGGTGGGATGCGAGGCCTTGGAGGAGAGCTTCTCCTGTGCTGAGGGAGTTGTTGTTCGAGTGTCGAAACTTGACATGACTTGAACATTGCCATATCTTTTATCTTATTTTTTTTTTTTTGGTGCCGTGCGTTTTTCGCTGGCGTCTCCTGTGTTCTCTAGTGCGTCTCTTGTCTCTTATGTGTCCGTCCGTCTGTCACTTCGCCCCTTCCTCAACGTCTGTTCTAGCCATGGCCCACCGGACTATCTGCGCCCCGCCCAAGTGTTGCAATCGTACATGATCACCCTGCCATTTGCTGCACGGCCACAATAGATTCTCATCTGTAGCACTTTGACGCCCCCCCCCCCTCCCCCCCGGTGTTTGCCATCGGGGTTGGGTTTTCGTCGCTTGGCAA